CGAACTTTAAAAATGGTTTTTGTTCATTTATTTTAAATTTTTCTGGTTTAATCGCGATCAGATTTTTTCTAGATCCTGCATTAAATTTATATTTTGACCTCACTATTCGGGGAACAGACACAGTCTTTATAGATTGGACAGCGCAAGTACTTCTATCATTTAGGCGGGTAGAACACAAGTCAAACAGTGTTCTGTGCTCGTCTGTGCAGCCAAACACAGAACAGTTAGCATGTTTTGCTCAAACTTTCTCGATGGCGTTAGAGCTGGTACATCGTTGTCGCTTGTGAAAACACAATAACGGCGCCGTGGGTGAAAACTTACAGATTAAGGGGCGGTAATATTATAATGAGATCCCTTTGTGATGTCACCAAGGGAGCGAAATCAGACGCGCTCGTTTTCTCAGACGCTTGCAGAAAAAGGCTTCCCAAAACAAAGTTACTAGGTTAATCTTTTTCACGTTTCCTTGGTTGGTAGCGAAATCAGACGCGCTCGTTTTCTCAGACGCTTGCAGAAAAAGGCTTCCCAAAACAAAGTTACTGGGTTAATCTTTTTCACGTTTCCTCGGTTGGTAGATGCACCGGGGACCTGATTATAGCACTTAAAACCTGGAAAAGTCAGATTTTCATGATATGTCACCTTTAAGGGATTTGTATCTGTGTATTCTTTCTTTATTTTTTCTTTATTTCTTTTATTTTTTTCTGTTTTTTTACTGTATTACCGAAATGATTTGATGTTTTGTACTGTTTAATAAAAAATTTAAAAAATCAGAAAAAAGATTCGCGATACGTACTCAGAAGTTCCGATCTGAATCAAATGATTCACGATTTGCGATCCGATTGGAGCACTTCGAAGCAGTGAATCACTATAATAATAGCCTACTGCAATTATAATAGTTTGGTTTTGTTCATTTCAGGTGCTGAAATCAGATTATCTTCTCATCTACTGTTAATAAAATCACAGCGATATTTTATATAAACACAGGAAAAAATATTGGCAGTCCCTCTCGGTGTTCGTTGTCCATTTGTGTGGAATCTGCAGAAGGTGAAATCGAAGATTCATTCTACACACACTCGCATTTGTTTGTGTTTCTTCATTCTTCTTCTCTTGTGCAGTCTGTGTGTCTCGGGTCAGATGTCAGTGAATGGAGTGGATCTGCTCTCTCAGCGCACTGGAGACTGCTGCTGCTGCCTAGAGCTTTGATCTCATGTTAGAAAACCACACAGTTAAAGGGGTCATATGATGCTATTTTAAAGATCATTATTTTGTGTATTTGGTGTAACAGAATATGTTGACATGCTTTAATGTTCAAAAAACACATTATTTTTAAAATACTGTACATTATTGTAGGTCCTCTATGCCCCGCCTCTCTCAAAGCCCCTCCTTTGACAAGCGCAGTCTGCTCTGATTGGCCAGCTGAACCAGTGCATTGTGATTGGCCGTAGTGCTGGGCGGTGTTTGTTGTTTTTTTTAGTTTGTTACTCAGACGCAGGCAGTGCATTGCATGAGACAAAAAAGTAATATAGCCAAAACCATTGCATAGCCGCTCAACATGCATCTAACTGTACATGCATGTTGATTTTATCAGACGATGCCGCGATTATAAATGAGAGTGAC